GGTTAGGGTTAGGGGTTAGGGTTAGGGGTTAGGGTTAGGGGTTAGGGTTAGGGGTTAGGGGTTAGGGTTAGGGGTTAGGGTTAGGGGTTAGGGTCAGTGGGGGAAGAGTGATCGGTGGGGCTGATCTCAGACCCTCCGGAGCAATTCCTGTTTCCTGCTGATCCCAGAACAGCCCCAGCCACGGCGCAGACTCTCACTGCCCAGTAACCATGGGAAACTAAAAACCCGATCGTGTGGAAGCCATTGTTCCCAGCAGTGAGGGAATGACTGGTCCCAAAACCTTGGTAATCTGTCTGGTGGTGAATATGCTTTCTTACTCTTCTGGAACAGGAGAGGATATGAATGTGTCCTACAGTCCTGTGTGTCAGAAGAGCCCCTCTGCCCCTTCTCTGCCTCACTAGGGTCCTCTCTTGCTCCTGTCTCCAGGGATGTGGGTTTGCTTGCTCTCCTCATACTTCCTGGTGCTTTTTAATCTTGAATGTCTTTTCTTTACTCCTTTGCTAAGCTTATTTATACTGTTTCCTCCAAATTTGTCTCTAGACCCACCAAAGAGCTCAGGCTCTTTGCTGATGTTGTGGGTTGGTGGCCCTGAAGCAGATTGGGGTGTGTTATCTGGCTGGTGCACGCAAGTGCAGAGCTGTGCTTTCTGCTGGGGGTTTGAGACTTTGGTGTGGAGGTTGGCTCCTTGGCTGAAAACTCATCAGAGCTCACACTGTGCTGGAGATGAGGGGCCCCATCTCTGTTCTCTTGAGACATCCCGGCTGCACTCCCAGTGTGGGAAGGGCAAGTAGGGAGGGCGGGGTGTCTGAGTGTAGATATCTGTAGGGAAGGAAAAGCTGATGTGACCCAAGGGGACAAGGCAGAAGGGCTGTGCCTTGGAGGAGGTAAGACATGTAGGAGTCATTAGGGGTATTTGTGGTTTCTCTTTTTTTGGAAGAAGGGTTCTAACTACAAGTGTTTGAAGTATGCAGATAGACATGGTGTGGTGTTGTGGAAGGCAGGTGAAAGCTTTTATTTCTGAAATAGCAGGTAATTGTCTGTCTGAAATGACAAGCAGGTGTCTAATTTCTGTTTAGGACTTACCTGGAGGCTGGTTGCTTCCAGCACCTCACTGACTGGCTGAGCATCAGGTGCCTGTACGGACACACGGGACACGTGCAGCTGTTCTGGGGGCAGTCAGACCCGTGGGTGGGTCTGTCAGTGCTGAACGTGGGTGGCAGGAGGGGGTAACCAGGAGTCCCTCAGCATGGGACACTGGCAGTGGGAGCACATCTCAGTTGATGTAGAGAGTGGATGGTGCTGGGGTTATGAAATGAGGTGCTTGTGGGTTTTCTTTTATAAGGGGTTTTCTTCTGTGAGATCTGACATGTTGTTTCTCTTGTGCTGAAATTTTTGAGAAGTGGATGAGAAATTACTCAAGCCTACCAACTTTTGTAAACATCAGCTTCGCGCTAAAGAATTATCCCTTTGCTGTCCACTGCACACAGTGTCTTGCAGGAACTTTGGTCATTTCTCTGTGACAGGCCAGTAATGAACGCATGTCTTTAGTTCCCTGTGTTCCTGGATGATAAGTGGGGAGAGCTCAGGCCTGGAGGCAGCACCTTGGGTTTCCCATGTGCTCCCATGTTCCTGGCAGTGGATGTTTGTGAGACATGCAGCATGCTGCATGCTGAGTGTGGATGATGAGTGGGGCTGTCTGGCTCACCTCTCTGGAACAGTGAAGTTCCTAGTGGGCTCAGGAAAGGGATTTTCTCATCCTTGTCACCTGTGGCATGAGGAAGGAGGAAGGGTGGGGGCAAAGCAGGGAGCAGGGAGGGGAGTGAGGAAGTGTCAGTTCTCCCCATTGCTAAGCAGCCAGCAGTAGTGCTGCTTTGGCTGTTGGAAGAACTCTGCCTGCAGAGCCCTGGAACTCCACAGTACGAACACAGGATTTGTGTGTTGTGTCTTGGTTGAGGTGGCCTGACTATGTAGATTCCAGGTGATATCCCTGCTCTTGTTTTCCATCTGAAGAAAGATGGAGAAGTCTCTGTGCTGCGACATCCAGGTCATTGTTCACACTGGGACTGCATTGACAGTGTGCTTTGTCATTGTGAGGCTGAAACGAAACCGAGTTCATGTTCCTGGAGGCAGGGCAGGACAATAAGACATGCAGGGCACTGATGTGAGGACTTCCAGCCTCCCTCATCAGGCCTTTTCCTTCTGCTGGTCTCTCAGCCCTTGCAGCTCTGACCCATACTCCTTGTGGACAGTGTCTGTAGAGGTGGTTGTATATCAGCTGCACTGTCGGTTGTACAGAGTGTCCTTTCTTTGTTGTTCCTGGACTTGCAGTCAGTGGTAGGTTCTCAATATGGAGGTGCCCACATGCCTTTCTCCTTACATTCCTGGATATTTTTCAGTTTTCTCCTTGCTCCTGAATTTTTGTGGCATTTAAAAGCATGACCAGGTGCTCCAAACCCAGAGGCTGTGCCCAGAGTGCAACAGTGCTTCATATCAGGTGCTGCTTTGCACTGCCTCAGCGTCTCAAAACTGTCATCGAGTCCTGTCTGTGTACTTTGTGTGACCCAGAGTATCTTTTTGGGCCATTGTTACCTGTTTGGGTGTTGTTACCACCATGTTTGCTGCTACTGCTGTACTTTTTGCAGCATTACAGCTCATTCAAAACCACTCTTGTGATGTTTGCTCTCCTGTCCTGAATTTAGCTGCGGTAGAGTTAATTTTCTTCCCAGAAGCTGGTCCAGTGCTGTGTTTGGGATTTAGTGTGACATCAGTGTTGGTAACACCCTGATGTTTGAGGTGGTGCTCAGTCAGTTGGTGCTTACTCTGAGTCAGGGACTGTTCAATGTCCTGTGTTCTGCCACTGAGGGGGGAGCGTGGCCAGGAGAGCCAACCTGAACTGGCCTGAGGGAAGTTCTGTACCACAAAACCTCCTGCCCAGTGTAGAAACAGAGTGGTAGTGGTAGGGTGTCTGGGAGCCACTGGTCACTACTGGGGGACGGGCTGGGCATGGATCAGAGGGGTGGTGAGTGACTGTTGGGCATTACTGGTTTATCTTGGGTTTTGTTTCTCTCTCTCCTCTTTTCATTACTATTAGTAGTAGCAGTAATATCAGTGTATTTAGTTTTATTTCAGTTATTAAATTGTTCTTATGTCAACCCACAGGTTTTAGCTTTTCGTGATTCTCCTCCCCATCCCACTGGGAGCAGCGAGCGGCTGCTTGGGACAGAGTTCCCAGCTGGGATTAAGCCATGACAGTCTTCTTAGTGCCCAACCTGGAGCACAAAGGGTTGAGATAACTGATCTGGCCAGGGCATGTTAAAACAAAGTTTTTACAGTATGTTAGTTTAGTAGTTGCTGGTCACAATGTTGCTTTATTTGCTCTCAGAGTTGTACTTGTTCTCAGACTCATATCATGGAACACATGCCGGTGTGAGCACCACCAATGGTTCTTTTCATCTTAGAATCTTAGAATTGTTTGGGTTGGAAGGGACATTAAGGATCATCTTGTTCCAACTTCCTGCCATGAGCAGGGACACCTCCCACTAGCCCAAGTTGCTCCAAGCCCTGTCCAACCTGGCCTTGAACACTTAATACTTCCAGGGATGGGGCAGCCACAGCTTCTCTGGGCAACCCGTGCCAGGGCCTCACCACCCAGACAGGGAGGAATTTATTCCCAGTATCCCATCTAACCCTGCCCTTTGGCAGTTTAAAACCATTGACCCCTGTCCTGAAACTCTCTGCCCACATAAAAAGTCCCTCTTCCTCCTTTTTATAAGTCCACTTAAGGTATTTGAAGGGCATAATGGGGTCTCCCTGTAGACTTCCCTTCTCCAGGCTGAACAGCCCCAGCTCTCTCAGCCTGTGTCCATAGGAGAGATTCTCCAGCTAAAGGCTTGTGACAGTCTGAGCAGCAGCTGCAGCCCGAGAGCTCCCTGTAGGGAAAGGAACACCAGGTAGTTTAGACAAGCACTGCTCACCAACAAACATCATATGCCTTTAATGTTTTATGTGTTGTGAATTATTGAATTATTTGGATGAGAATATGTAGTACATCAAGCAGTGTTTTTTGCTATGAGTTGGCATTTTATAGTTTTGCTTTCCGTTAAAGCACTGAAAGACTGATGTCAAACTGATCTCAGGATGGTTAACTGCTGGAAAAAAAGTACAAATTGTATTTTCTCATGATGGTGTTTGCTGTCATACTGAGGCTGTAACCATGTAGCTCAAGAGGAAGGGTTGCAGACAGAGTTACTAAAAGGAGATGTGATAGAGTGTATTAACTCCCTCCAAACTCATCCTGCCTGTTCTCTTAGACTACTGTGACTGCAGCAGAGTACTTGCACTGGAAGTTTACCCGTGTGTTGTGAAGGGGACCTTTAGTAATTTATTAAAAATGACAGCAAAATACCTTTGCAAAATACAAGAATGAGTTCTCAACAAAATGAAAGCATGTTTTAAACTGCAGTGGTTTTGGTGTTGGAGTTGAAATTAATTTGTGTGAAATTCAAGTTAGTTTGGCAGAATTAAACTTTTAATACAGAGTTGACTAACTGAAAGAAATTTTTTTAAAAAATCGTTTATTGGGACTACGATATTTTGGTTTAAGGAAATTTTCAACCTTAAAAAATATCAGTTATTCAGGAACTACATGTTGTCATTCCTATAAATTTAAAGGACTTATCTCCACATGTGACTTACACAATTTTTTTCATCAGTTTTTTTAGAGAATTTCACGGTGGTTTTATTTCTCAGTTCTGTATAAGTGGGAGAAGCACTTACACTGCTTTACAGTGACAACTTCTGTAGCTATTTGTTCTCTTCCTTCTATACTTGACTTTAGAAGGATAAATGCTTTCAGTATTTTTCTGAAAAAGTTAAAGTCTTGACCCATTGGAAGAGTCAGCGAATATCAGAGTAATATGAACTTGCACAAGTAATTCCATACGTACTGCAAACTGTAAAGGGAGATGCGTTGCAAACTTTGTTCTCAGTGTCCTTTTTTTCCTTCTAGCTGCCCAACTGAGCGCCTGGAAGTGCTAGCCTGCCTGAAGCAGCTGCCTCAGCAGCACATGGACGTGATGAAGGTACCCCCACACCGTAGTGGGAGGACACCACGGCCAGGTCCTGCCTCTCCTCCCCTTGGCCGGGTGCTGCCAGCTGGTGCCTTTACTTTGCACAGCAGCAAACTCCAAGCCCTTGATTGTGGTGGTTTGTGAAAAACCACATTAACCAGTAGAATTGTTAAAGTCATCATCTGGGAGCTTTATATGGGCACCTGGAGGTTGTGTGGGGTTCAGCAAGCAGAAGAACTGTTTGACATGTGTTGAGAAGCTCCCCTTTCACATCCCTCTGTGTAGAGTCTCCTCTTGGTTTATTTTATTAGTTTTGCCCCAGGCCTGGGTTAACAGACTCCTCCTCGCTTCTACTGTTTGCTGTGTCCAACTGTTTCTCCCAGTGGTGTGTGTTGGTTTAACTGGGGCCAGGGCTGCACATTCTGTAGTAATCTGCACATCTGCCAGAGCCCTCCCAGCTCAGTGACCAAGGATAGAGAGCACAGGAAAACCTTATTTGCCGCAGTATTTTACCAGGATAGGTGTGTGATGGAATGGTTTTACCTGCTGGTTGAAGACAAGGATTAAATGTGTTTACCTTTTCTACTGAGTTACTGTAGTTACTGAGACGTCTCTTAAAATGTGTGCTTATCAGGGAGTACTTATTTCATATTTCAGTTATCTTGCATTTTGTTTTATGAAAAAGGTAACATCATCATTTCCACTCAGCAAAATTTCCTTTGATTTTAAAAATCATGAACAATGTCAAGCCAAACACTTTTTACTGGATATCTCAGACATGCATTGCTTTAGTTGGAATAGCAGATTAATAAAGACAACGGTTTTCACAAGTGTTAACTTTTGGAATTGCACAGGTACAGGTAACATTTTTAGGGATTTTGACTTTAATTCCCTTGCTATGTGAAATAGGCAGCTTTATTTTTTTTGATGTTAAGCTTGAGTAGTTCTCTGAAATAAATATGTTGTGCAGAGAAGCTGAGGACGCCCTGTGCCTTGAAAAGACCAGGTTGGATGGGGCTTGGAGTATCCTGGTCTAGTGGAAGGTGTCCCTGCCCATAGCAGGGAGTTGGAACGAGATGGTCTTTAAGGTCCCTTTCAACCCTTAGCCATTCTATGATTCTGTGATAGATCTTGGTGTGGGGTTGGCAGTATATGGCTGTTTTACAGAAGATGAACAATCTCTCCCACCAAATACCTGACCATTCTGGATATCCTTTACCTTGCTGCCTGTTTCTTTTCAAAGTCAAACAGTTTGAAAAGTTTCTTTTCAAAGTTACATGTTAATTACACTATTTTTGGCTTTTGTAGGTTTTTAACGATCCTATTCATGGGCACATTGAAATACATCCCCTGCTTGTTCGGATCATTGACACTCCTCAGTTCCAGCGCCTCCGGTACATCAAGCAGCTGGGTGGCACTTACTTTGTTTTTCCAGGAGCCTCTCACAACCGCTTTGAACACTCCATTGGGTAAGGAGCTGGTTCTGGCACATGCCTCTCTTGCATCTGGATTTCCTTGAGTTTGGCTCCACTGCTGTGGAGTGCCAGCCAAGAGGCGTTGGTGAAAACTGCTGTGGTGGCAGTTTTGGTCTCATGAATGTTCCTGGATATCCCATGTGATTATGGGCTGTTCCCTTGAACTTCCTTTAAAAAAGACAGATAAAGAAACCTATGAGATGGATCAATGTTAGAGTTCCTCCCTATCCTTTCTTATTCTAAGAATAATGTTAATTAATGACTGTGAGTCAAAATTTTAAGTTTTAAAGCATAAACCTAGTAAGGGTACAGGGGCTGCTCTAAATGACTTGCCAGACAGCTGCATTGTCCAGCACAGCTAAAATCCATTTGATCTGTAATGTTTGCCTTTGTAGTTAGGTGTGCCTTATGCAATCGATGGCAGGTTGTCAGGCTGATAACTGTAATTCAATTAAGCAGAAACAGATGATGGACTGTATTAGTTTGTTTGAATACATGCCCAGAATAAAGACAAGTACAACAGACATTCGAACACTACAAAATAAAAAATCTTTTATTGCAGTGAGAATAAAAAACTACTAGCAAAGAGAATCAAAAGCTAAAAAAAAATACAAAAAAACTATCAGTTGGCATTCATACAATACTATGAACAGCTTTTATTACAGTATTAACTAGTAAAAAGGGAATTAAAGGGATACAAAAAAGGATATAAAACATTTGCTTTCTTGTTTGCTTCCTGTCAATAAACTGTGCTTACCTACACAGACAGGCCAGGTGATGCCCAAAAAGGTGCAATGGAACTGTTTAGAGACAGAATTTAGCCTTTAAACAGCAAGGTATTTATTTAGGCAACGTTGGAGAGCGAGCCAGGTCGCCCTGGACAAACTTGTTCTGCCTTCTCAGTGAAAAGACATGATTATATACAATTTCTACAAGGGATTACAACATTTTTACATACATATTCATATAATTGCAACATCTAGTTATAATATTCATAATAGGTGGAGTCTGGGTGGAGCCTGGGGTGGAGTTGTCTTTTTGGGGTGATGTTTGGTGGTCATTCCTGTTTCTTCAGCCTCACGGGGTTGTATTTTTACTCTTCTTCCTCAGCTGAACTCTTCAACTTTCTTGATTTTTGCTGACTCCATGGTGAATTTTGCAAGACTTCGAACTCAAGCCCCTATTTTGCCCCTTATCTATTCATATTCTTACCCTATCTTTATTTATGTAGGTGTGTGAGCATTCTTTTGGTGTACAGTACCATCTAATCCCTAAGCTCTGGTTTCTGTCTCTAGCTAATCATTACATTCTTCTGAGCAGGGGTGTCCCCGGATCAGTATTCAGAGTTAACTCTTTAGGCCCTACCTCTGTTTCACAGGGCTGTCAGGGTCTGCAGCAGCTGGTCGGTGCCCGTGCTTAGCGGGCGTCCCCGCGGAGCAACACAGTCTCCATGGCAGGATGAGGATCGCTCACCCCAGCAGTGCTGACACCCCATTTCATCAGCTCTACATTACACCACGTAGGGCCAGTACCCAGTATAAGGTGATGCCTGAGTGGCAGCCAAACCCTGCCTGTTCATCACCTGAGAGCAACAGTCTGTGCCTGCCCTGCTGTAGGGCAAGGGGCCAGCGACCCCTGCTCACATCATCTTCCTATCACCAGCATCTTTCTCACTCCTATGTATGACCTCTACCATTGTGTTCCCATTTCCATCTTGCAGTATGGAGCCAAGCCAAGGAGGAACTCAGCTCTGATAATAGGGGACATCTAGTCGGCTTGCTAAAGACACAATGGACCTTTCAGTTAACTTGTGCAATAAAGGTACATTGTACAATACTCTGGCTGGTTTCGCATCCTTGTATAATTACTTTCTCATGCCTCTATGCTCCATTGGTCATCTAAATCAAAAGTACCCCCTTTACATGGGCACAAGGATTCTGAAACAAGGACTCAAATCCAATAGCAGAGTGCCGAGGCATGACGGAATATTTCGCCGTATCATGCCCACCCAGGCACATTATCTCGAGGTTTAAATACATTGTAACACCCGAAGTTCCCACCTAAAGTCCTGCCCAATTCAGATGTAAGGTACTCCTCTGATTTCATCTTGCTGTCCTTTCATGAGCAGGACTGCCATCTAGCGTCCTTTGGCCGGCAGGAATTTGAGGAGTGGGCTGTCTGCCTTCCTCCCCGGGGGTCATCACCAACGTCTTCCTCGTGTCCTTTGGGCAACCCAGTCCACGTTGGCAAATTCCCAATCACGTGTGATTAATTTCTGCTGACCTCTGTCTTCTATCTGATTGTTCTGAGCCCTTATTAAAACATTTCATTTATTTATCATTGGTTAAAGATAATCTAAGACTCCTCTTTAATTAGGCAATTCTTTATTGAATTTGCTTCTCTAGCAAAACAATTTCTTATTGAGTTTTCTAAAGTGTGGAGGCCTCCTAAACTATTTCTTCCAGGTGCAGATTCAGCAGCTGTTTTCTAATTTTCTCGAGTTTTCATCTTCATTTCTCTAAACTAAACATACATTTAAGCAAAAACAACTTAAAATTACAGAGTCCAAGGGAATACAAATTCCTTAGTTATTTAGGGCACAGCTCTTTACAAAGGCCAGGAGATCACAAAAATTCCTAAGCTAACTGAGGTAGAGGTATAGCTTTCCTTCAATTCCTAGAGTATTGCTAGGTCATTCACACTCCATGTGTGAATTAATGACAAATTTAAGCTTGTTTTAAAGGTATATGCCAAGGTGCAGATAAATTAAGCTAGTCAATAGTTTGTATTCAGGTGATCTGGACAGCCTAAAGTTGATTTTGTTAGTGCTGAAATATTGTGGATAAGTGTGGCTTACTTATAACAAGATGTAAATGGCTGTTGCAAAAGAGTCAAATCAATGAAGCAGGCTGGATTGATTGCATCTGGTACACCTGAAAAGACAGAAATATGGTTGAAAATAAACAAAGTTTCCACAACAGAAGTCTGAAAATTACAGTCATATCAGCAACCTTTTCTTTTGAACAGTTCTTTTGACCTATAGAGTTAAATTTAGGACATTTGTTCTCAATTTGTGTGTAATTTCAAAGGTTTCTACGGTGTCAAAGTAGAAGAAATGAGCTTTATGTGCTTATTGGTCTAGTAAAAGAACACCAAACAGTAAAATTTCATATAATAAAAGTTGTTGTAGGAAACCTTGTCTTGCTTTAAACTGTTCTTCAAGGGGGACTGCTGGGACAAGTAGAAAAGGAAGTTTGTGTAGAGCTCGTAAACAGTTTACAGGAGTATGTGCCATGTGTTTGTTCCTGCATGTTTTGTGTCATGAGAAAAGAGGGTCCCACTGAATGAAATCAAATGTCAAATCTAAAATAAATGAAAGGAAGAGAAATAATTATCATGAACTACTGTTAAAGCAGCAATTTGAAAGAAGAATCAAATGCTTTGGTGACTATTGTGGACCTTTGCAGTTGCCCTGACTGGAATTCAAGGATTCCTGTAAGTTGAGGTGCTTCAAGATTCACACTGTCAGTGATGCACTGCTGTTCCTTTACACAGCTACTCTGGGGTTGTGTGTTATGAAATACGGTAGGATGCTGTTGTCTTTTGGGCCTGGTGTCCCATGCTTTTTTGCTTTCGGATGTGTTACTGATGACTAAAACTCTACTACAGGAAATAGTTTGTTTCTGTGATTCAGATCAGGTTTTGGGGATTTGTTGTTCGGTGCCTCTCAGATAAGGGCTTAATTGATCAAAATAGAATAGGGGAACTGCTCTTTTTCTGTTCAGCCTAAACCACTGCTCTATTCCCTTTTTTTTTCTCCTGCAACAGGGTTGGTTACCTAGCAGGATGTCTGGTTCGTACACTGAAGGAGAGACAACCAGAACTGGATATAACCCAGCGAGATATCCTCTGTGTAGAAATTGCTGGGCTTTGTCACGATTTGGGTAAGGAACACTTGAGATGACTTGTTGAAAGCTAACCAGGATGAAAAGCTGGCTGTGAGATCAGAATTGTGAGCTCTTTTGGGCTGTTCAGTGCATGGCCATATTCCAAGACAGGTTTTATCTGTTCTGTTTGGTCTGGAGTACTTCTGTGGAGACAATTCCACTTGGTGAATCTGTAGCCACTCTTAGCTAGTGTTTTTTCTTGTTTCCAAATAGTGTTAGAGTTCTGCCCTCAGTGGCTGAAGTGTCCACTTCCTTCTGTGATTTACTCAGGTCTCTTAAAACCTCTCAGAATAAAAATTAGTGGCCCTTTCAAAAACTGTTACGATTATTTTATAACTACCTATTTTCTTCAGAGCCGACACAGAGTTCTCAGTACTGCTGCAGTACTTGCCTGTGGTGTAGGTGCCACAACTGGTTTTAAGTGCTGTAGTTCTTAAGGTGCCTTAGGAAAGTGCACTTGCTACAACTGAATCTTCCTCACAGATGATGGGTGAGGAGTTGTCTTGCTCGGAGAGTTGTGGTCAAGGGCTCAATGTCCAGGTGGAGCCCAGTGGCAAGTGGTGTCCTCAGGAGTCAGTGTTGGCACCGGTGCTGTTTGATTCTCTGTCGGTGACACGGGCAGTGGGATCGATGCGCCCTTGGCCAGTTTGCCGATGACACGGAGCTGTGGGGGCGGTCACAGGCTGGAGGGAAGGCACCTGGGCAGGCCAACAGGTTCAACAAGGCCAAGGGCAAGCTCCAGCGTTGGGGCAATCCCAAGCACAAATACAGGCTGGGAGGAGAGTGGATTGAGGGCAGCCCTGAGGAGATGGACTTGGGGGGGGCTGATGGATGAGAGGTTGGACAGGACCACTGGCATGTGCACTGGTACTCAGAAACCCCCTGTGTCCTGGACTCATCCCAGCAGCGTGGGCAGCAGGACAAGGAAGAGGATTGTGCCCCTCTGCTCTGCTCAGGTGAGACCCCACCTGCAGTGCTGCCTCCAGCTCTGGGTCTCCCAACGTCAGGAAGATGTGGAACTGCTGGAGCAAGTCCAGAGGAGGCTGTGGAGATGCTCTGAGGGCTGGAGCCCCTCTGCTCTGGAGACAGGCTGGGAGAGCTGGGGGTGTTCACCTGGGGAAGAGAAGGCTCTGGAGAGGCCTTGGAGCACCTAAAAGGGTCTCCAAGAGAGTTGGAGAGGGACTTTGGACAAGGGCCTGAGTGATAGAACAGGAGAGAAATGCTTCACACTTCTAGAGGGCAGAGTGAGATGGGATATTGGGAAGACATTGTTCCCTGAGAGGGTGGTGAGGCCCTGGCACAGGTGAAGCTGCGACTGCCCCATCCCTGCAAGTGTTTGAGGCCAGGTTGGATTGGGCTTGGAGCAACGTGGTCAAGTGGCAGGTATTCCTGCCCATGGCACCGGGTGAAACTAGATTTTTTAAGGTCCCTTCCAACCTGAATCAGTCTAGGATTCTAGATATGTCAAGATCAAGTCAAATACAAGAGAATTCAGATCCCTCGCTTGCTCAAAAAATTTTTACTCCCAACCATGTCTCAGATTAAACCTGTGTAATATTTATTTTTAAGGTCATGGGCCATTTTCACACATGTTTGATGGAAGATTTATTCCAATGACTCGTCCAGATTTGAAGTGGAAGGTAGGCTTTTCGCTATTGAAGTAAAAATACAAACCTGAGAGTTTTGGAGGCAAAATAATTAATCTTTAAAGAGTGCCATTGCTTGTGAGACGATGGTGATCACTTGGCTTTACTTTATTGCATCAGTTTGTTGGTTTAATTGAAAACCAGAGTGTTGTCTCCCAGTCTTGGGATGACTTCCTTGTTGTCTTCAGCTGTATGTCTGGGGAACGTCAGCTCCCTCAGCACAGCCAGATGGAACCTTACTGGCAATGCAGAAAAAGTGAGAAGTGAGGATGGATGTGTCACCCCCATCTCTTCCCTAAAAGTGCACGTGCTCTTGGACTACTGTGTACTTCTGTGAGATCTGTGTGGATGCATGGATTTCTCTTCTGCAGATGTCACCTGGGTGACACAGAAATGAGTTGTCTCAGTCTTGTCAGTTCCTGTAGTGTGACTCTGAAGAGGCAGAATTTTTTAGGACTGCAATGATCATTTTTAGCCAGCATTGTGCCTTAAAATGCATATTGAGAGCTTTCTGCAGAATATATTCTACAGATGCAAAAGACCAGCTGGCAGCCTCCTTTCTGGTTTAATATTTTAGCTCAAGACTATTCAATACAGTGCTTAGAATTCAAACTTCCAGAAATTTTGAACAGAATTCAAAACAGCAGAATTATTTTATCGTTGTAACTGCCTTACTGCTGTTTGTGAAAATTCAAAATTAACAGCTCTCTGCTGAAGAGTGTGTTTCTGGACTCTGTAGGCTGGGTGATTTCCTGTTTTGTTTAATGCAAGATAAATAGAAAATAACCCAGGTGCTGCACTTTCACACCAGCCTGCCCATGTGCCATGCCAGGCAGTGCTGCTGCTTGGGAGGAGGCTGTGACACTGCAGGAAAGATGCTTAAACCATGTAATACAACATTTGGATGTTTTTTTTTCACAGCATGAAACTGCTTCTGTTAAAATGTTTGAGCACCTGATAACTTCCAATAAACTAGAAGAAGTCATGAAGTCATATGGTCTTGTCCTGGAAGAAGATATGTTGTTTATCAAGGAACAAATAGGAGGGCCTATAGATGAAACTGCTTGTGAGAAATCGGTGAGTCAGTGTACTGCTCCTGTGGTTATCCCAATAAATGTCTTAATTTTGCTGAAAGTAGATCATTTTGGCTTCTGCTATGTGTTATTTTTAGCCCCATGAAATTCTGAGAATCCTGTCACAACTGGTGCCAGAGAAGTGTAGTGTTTATTTCTTACAGTGCTGGCAGGAGGTAGTAGCTTCACTGTGTTCTTACGTCTCCCTGAGAATTCTGAACCAAAAGTTTTCAGATTAGAGGAAAGCTCTGGAATGTTATTTGTATTTAGTGAACCTAACTGGTGATTGGGATCCACTCAAGGGTATGGAAAGAGCTGGCAGAAGTGCTCACCAAGGCACTTTCCATCATTTACCAGTAGTCCCGGGTAGTCCCAATTGACTGGAAGTTGGCAAATGTGACTCCATCTACAAGAAGAAGGGTCAGAAGGATGATCCAGGGAACTACAGGCCTGTCAACCTGACCTTGGTGCTGGGGAAGGTCATGGAGCAGATGATGCTGAGTACCATCATGCAGCACATACAGGACAACCAGGGAATCTCAGGCTCAGCCAGCCTGGGTTTAGGAGAGGTAGGTCCTGCTCTACTGAAGACCAGGAAGGCTCTACAGAGGGATCTGGACGTGCTGAACTGATGAACCTCATACAATTGACCTTGGTCCAACAAGCCAAGTGTTGGGTCCCGCACTTGGGTCACAGCAATCCCATGGAATGCTACAGGCTTGGGGAAGTGACTGGGCAGAAAACGACCTGAGGGTCCTGGTCCACGTGAGCCGTCAGTGTGCCCAGGTGGCCAAGAAGTCCAGTGGCATCCTGGCTTGTGTTAGCCATAGTGTGGCCAGCAGGACCAGGGGCAGTGACCATCCCCCTGTGCTGGGCACTGCTGAGGCCACAACTGAAATTCTGTGTTCAATTCTGGGCCCTTCACTTCAAGAAAGACATTGAGGGCTGGAGTGTGTCCAGAGAAGGGCAGTGGAGCTGGGGAAGGGTCTGAAGCACAAGTCTGATAAGGAGCAGCCGAGGGAGCTGGAGGGGCTCAGCCTGGAGAAAAGGAGGCACTCAGGCTCCCTCAGTCTGGATAACAAAACTGAGCACTGGCAGAGACGAGGCAGTGAGCAATCAGAAGCATGGCCCAAGTGCCAGAGCCCACATCAGCTTTGGTGACAGCAGCAAAATGCTTGAATTAATTGCAGTACATAGAGGCAGGGATAAGACTCGAAGAAATGAGTTGCCTGAAGAGACAAGGAAGAAGAGATGGTGATTGTTAATCATTGCAACTCTGTGAAAGACTTAAGTCCTCTCTCCTTGCTTTATACTTTACAGCTGTTGTCATCTCTTCAAGGACACCCATTCAGTTGCCACTAGAATTAAGAGCTCGTGGCAGCTGAAGTCAGTGGGAGATCTGTCAGGACAATCTGGTACTAATCAGAATTTGTATGTTGTCCCAAACAAGTAACCCGCAAATGTTCACACTTGCCTGTTATTTTCTGCTGCAGTAGTGGGTAGTTCTGCCATGTGTACTCCAGCAATCTGATGGCAAACATAGGGAACTTGGCATAATGAAATTCAGTCTGAGATCTTATAGGAAGAGGATGTTCATTTACAAAGGCTGTAGGTTGGTTTTTACCCCCTTGGGGTAAATCCTACTACCTCCCACAACCACTGATCTTGTGCCAGGTTCTTACCCCATGTCTGGTTTTCCTTGTTTGGATTCTACACCTGTTTTCCAGCAGGATACCAGGAAAAGGAGTGTCATCATGATCTGTGGCAGCACTCTCCTGGTGTTAGGCACAGGGCCTGGCCTGGCAGGCACTGTCCTGTGGTGCCCCAGAGAGCACAGGCTGCTGTGCTGGTGCAGTGTCTGGCAGTGGGGCTGTTGTGCTGCAAGAGTCTGTCCTGCCATGAACAACAGGTGTTTGTGCACTAAACACAAACAGTGTTCTCAACTTGGCCCAGGAGCAGAGCTCTTTGTTATCGTGGTATTTTTTTCTATGATGTGCTTCCTTCCTGCTGCTTACAGTTCCTGCTGCATTTCCGTTCCAAGTCACATCAGTTTTAGTGATTCTGTCGTGCTGATCACATGGAAGCCATGTTTGCATACAGTGTTTTCCACCTTCATGATTTCAAGGCCACTTTATGGCATTTTTTGTTTAGCTGAAGAATCTTTAAATTTTCAAGAAAATGTGCAACCTGTATCTTATTATTTTGGTGTTGATTTCCTGTTTGCCTCATGTCTGGATTATCCCTTGTGGGGTAGGAGTTTAAATAGCTGGCTGTTCAAACAATTTTTGTTTACTATGTCTAAATAAGTGTTTTAAAACTCTGTTCTATAAAGTTGTGTAGTTGATTGCAGAAGACTGCAAGACAGCGACGTGTTTGTAGGTTTAACTAATTCTCTGAATATTAAATGATTCCAGCCTTTTCCCCTCTTTGTTGCTATGTTGTGCTTTTTTTGGCATTTCAAAGCTGCAGGCTTTGTTTTAGTAGAATAGGCAATTAAAGACTTGTGTTCATGGGTTTTATTCTTCCTGAGATCCTGAGAAGACAGCTACTTAAGCCCTAGTTCTGGATTTCTAATGCCTAACAGCTTCTAGGAACTGTTTTCTTATCTTTGTGTTCTTTGCTACCTCAGTGTTGGGTGCTTATCACAGGCTAAGTCAAAGTGTATTCCTGCTGTCTTAAAAAAACTGATTTTACATTGTTTGCACACTTCAATTTCTTTTTTTTGTCTTCCTGGCTCCCCTGTTAGTGGCCCTACCGTGGTCGACCAAAGGAGAAAAGTTTCCTCTATGAGATAGTAGCTAACAAAAAGAATGGCATTGATGTTGACAAGTGGGATTATTTTGCAAGGTACAAATCTTACAGTTTTTATTATGAATTCCTACTGTAAAAATGCTACTGTGTGTACAAATAGGACCATGTAGTTAAACACTCTCTGTGGAATGTTTTTAGGGATTGCCATCACCTGGGAATCCCGAATAATTTTGATTATAAGCGATTGCTTGTCTTCACTCGGGTCTGTGAAGTAAAAAACCAGAAGCATATCTGTACCCGTGACAAGGTAAGGGGTGTGTGGGAGCCGAGGGACACTCAGGGGCACTGAGAGCACACGGGGACGTGGGGGAGCTGCACCCAGTGGCTGAGGGGCCTGAGGGGCTGCCCAGAGCTTCTTCAGCCCAAGAGAGGAAGAAGTTGCTGCTCTGAAAGCTTTTCTCCGAAGCTGGTGGTTGGAAGGAGGGAGGGACAGAGAAGCCACTGTTTGTGGCAGGTCCTTTCAGGGGAGACTCCACAGACCTGTCAGCTCTGCATGATTCTGCTCCAGGTCTTCTGAGCAAGAGGTGAGTGTGGCTTTGGTGAGGGGCTGCTGAAGGAGCGAGAGGGCCTCTTCTCTGCCTGGGCTCCCTGGGGTCGCTGCCAGCGCTCTGCTCTCCCATGCTGGCCTGAGTTCTTCTCCAAAATTTGTAAATTGTGAATAATAATTATCGTACTCTATGCTGCAAATGGAAGGAGACAACTCATTTGATTGATTGATTTAGTTTTACAAGTAAGACAGTGTCAAAAGTAAAAGCAGATTGGGTTTTTTTGATTCAGGAAGTTGGAAATTTGTACGAAATGTTCCACACCCGGAATTGCCTGCACCGGAGAGCGTACCAGCATAAGACTGGCAACATCATTGAACTAATGCAAGTATATTTTCCTTTTTTTGCATTCCATTTATTTTTAAATTCTTGAAACAATCCATATCCATTTGGAATATTAAGATAATCAATAAGATGTGACATAGAATAAAAGCAAATTCTTGTGGAAAGACTTAGTGCTTAGAGTATCATAGAGTCTGTGATTAACAAGCAAACAAAAAAAAAGAAGAGAGGAGGACAAAAACATCCTTCCACAGGAAATAAAATTAGAGGAAAATTACTAAAGCTCTGAAGAAACACCAGACCAGGGTGTGTTTAAGCCATTTTAACTGCTGACAACTGAGGTCAAATCTTTATCTGCAAGCTAGAGACCACTTAGCTCAAACTGGATCAAACTGGAGCAAGGTTACTTGCAGAGTAAAGTAATAACCAAGTTTATGTAGCTCAGCTGAAGCCTGACTTTGTGTTTATGTAATGCATGAATTGTTCAGGACTACCTCAGCTGGCTGCCTGCTATTGTACCTATCTTGTTGACGTCTATAGAATTTTCCCTGTAACATTATTCTCTTTACTTTTCTTGAAAATCAGAAATACTCGTATCCCAAAATATATTTTCATTAGGATCTTGTCTGCCAGGTTACCATCTACTGATTTTGGAAAAAAGGAATGTTAAGAATTACACAGTACAAGAGTGATTTGGACTGTTTCATTTTTTAAACTTCAGCTTCTGGTTTAAGGATCTTCTAAAACTCAGACTAAAAATGCTCAGGTTTGACAGTAACTAAATATGATGAGTAAAACGTATTTTTTAGTTTAGAAATTTAGTCCTTGGCTTCCCATAATTATAACGGCCTTTCCAAAAGAATGTCCATGCTGGAAATGACAGTGAGGCACAGGGAACTCTGGAAGAACTTGATCTTTAGAACATAACTTTTTCCCACCTGAAAACACCATGTTTGTGATGCTTTCCCTTTACAGTGCTTTGTATCCTCTCAGCTAGCTCTTGGAGCAACGTGTCTGTACGAGGATAAGGTTGTGTGTGAGGCAGCCTCGCTGCAGCTGAGTGGCCATGTCACTGTCTTGCAGGGTTCTGGAATTGTCTCAGCTGTGTTAAACTCAGTCTGAAGCAGAACAGACTGAACTTGATCATTCTTCTAAAGGTTATGGTCTGCTCTCAGCCTGCTCCCAGTAAATCTCTGTTGAAATGTGCGATGACAGCACAGAAACAGGAGATGTTGCTGTGTGATCAGCATCTGCTGCGTGCTGGGGATGCAGGTTTTGTCTGTTGTCTTCTGTTTATAACATACTAATTTGTTTCTCTTTTGACTCTTGAGCGATGAGGTGTTTCAAAACAATGTTATCCTAAAGTCTTAATTTTGTCTCAAACTAGGATTACAGAAGCCTTTCAAAAAGCAGACAAATATTTTGAAATAAGAGGCTCTGGAGGAAAAATGTATCAGATTTCTACAGCAATGGAGGACATGGAAGCCTACACTAAGCTAACTGGTATGAGATCTCAAACATTTTTTTTTAAAGTAAAAGAACATGAGTACCTGTTAAAATGCTGTTTTTACAGCTTTTTTACACAGAAGGTGGGGCTGGCCTGGGCCATCCAGTGCCTGTGCTCTCATATCTTGCTGGGAGAGCAAGACCTTCTAGTTTTAATTAGTTCCATGTTGAGAGAGAAGCAGCAACTTTATGTTCTGCGTACGTTCAAATTCAGCAGTGTTGTCAGAAGGTCCTGCCTGTGCCCTGAGTTTGTTGCACTTGTCACAGGTGGGATATAAGTCAGCTCTAAGTGATATAACATCCAACTCTGTGAGGTGGAGTGGTACTGGATGTGTGTTGTGACATGAAGCTGTTCCCAAGGGCACCCATGGGGTCTAATTTGATTTGCTTGAGACATTGCTACCCTGCCTGCCTGCCCCTCCTGGTGTGTGCTGTGAGGCCACCAGTGCTGCTCTGGTTGGTGTTGGGAGCTGCAGCAGGGGGTGGAGGCCGGTGTGGGCAGGCAGACCCTGCTGCACGGGGTGTGGGGGTGGCTGCAGGGCAGAGGATGCTGCAGGCCCTGGTCAGGAGTGCTCTGAGTAGTGGCAGCTTTTGCAGCACCTGTCAAGCTACAGCTCATGAGGACTCCCAAGGCATCTTTCCTGAGTGGCAAGGCAGCTTTTCTGAGGTTCCATCACCAAGCCTTGGCTTACCAACAGGGAGACTCAAGAACTTCCATCTTTGGTCCATGGACGAGGTGACGGAGCCTGAAAGCACTGTTGCAAAGGATCCTGTGTGTCTTAGCCTTTGTCATACTAAAGGCCTTCTGCTGGCAGTCCTTCATCTGCCACAGCCACCTGCAGCCTGACCACAGCGCTGCTGTGCTGTACTGAGGTGAGGAGCTGCATATCCCCTCTGTCACTGCATACCTCTGCTCAGAGCAGGAGAAGGGGCTGGCTTTAAGGGGCAGTAGCTATTGGAAAGCATGAATTGTAGTGCTGGGCTGTGGAAGGCCAAGCAGAAAGGAAAGAACTGAAATGAAGTTCTTCATGGGCTGGAATCTGTTACTGTGGGCTGGCTGGTCTGTAAGATCAGCTGTGCTGGCAGGTCAGCACCAGGGTCCTGCTGTAACTGCCTGCTTACCTGCAGTACCTGGTAAGGGGCACAATTCAGGGCAAGGAGACCAGGACTATGTCCTGTGCGCCACAGCAAGGAACTGCTTGCTGGGACTGTCCTGTTCAGCCAGGAGGGTTGAACAGCAAGGAGAGTGATGTGAGGAATGTACCAACGCCAGGTGTAACAGTGACCATGAAGGACGAGTCTGTTCTCCTCCTCTTAAACCAAGGCACTTCCTTTCCTGCTTCTAGTGGTTGCAACTGGGGGGCTCCTGAGAGGCTTGTTTCAGCAGTCCATGGTGGTGAGTGATGCTCCTGTGAAACTGTCCACTTACCTTGTGGACCTTTGCAAATTATGAACCTCTATCAGGTTCTGCAGCAAAAAGCTCCCTAGCTTTCTTCCATGGTGGGTGAAGAACCACTGTTGGTTTTTAATGTGCTGGCTCCTGATTTGTCAGTAGATCATAGTTCTAGTAAAGGCTGAGACAGCAAATTGTTCCTTGTCCCTACTGCTTCTGCGCAAGAGAGGTGTTCATGGGCGTCTTATTTCTCCTGCATTATCTATCCTCTGTCTGAAGAGACCTGGTCTGTGGTTCCTCATGGAGAAGTTCCTGACTTTGGTTGACCTTGCCCGTGAAAACAATCCTCATGGTGTTTTGGTGCATGGCTCATAGGTTGCTTCTCTTGGGAGCTCCCTAGGCCGGTTTCAGCTCTAGGTGGGTGTTGGTGGGCTGTGCTTGCAGCATGTGTCGAGGCTGCCCAGGTGTTCCTGGCCAGGGAATGTGAACAGCCACAGAGCAGTGTGGTGGTTGTGACAAGCAAGCAGCATCCTGGCAGCAGCAGTCTCTGGGACAGCCAGAAATAACCTTTCTGCTCAGAAGCCACATAAAAAGAAACCTCTGTCTTGGTGCTCGGACTGATGGTGGGAAACTCACTGTGCATGTCACTGTCAGGTGGAGGCAGGAGGGGAGACTTCGATGCTGGCATCCAAAGTCTGAGAAAGTCTGAAACTTTAATGACAGTTCTTTATTTTTTTACAAGACAGAGTATTCGTGTCCTGAGCCACTTAGTGCTTGGGTTTAGGATATTCTGCTGAACAAGACTGGCTCAATAAGAAGAGAAAGTAACTTCTAGTGAAGTAACAAAATATATTGCAAGGGTGAGAATTGAGCTAGTTTTTCCACCAACAAACATTGTGATTCTGATGATAATTAAGATGATATTGTGACTTTTCATTGTCTGACTTAGTTCAGTTATTCCCTGAAAATGTCTTTCCTGAACCAGCAGGAGCAGTTTTTCGTGTTGCCTTAACCTTTGTCCCTGCATTTTGCTGTGACACTGGATTGTAAACATACTTAACAAAAATCAATGCAACTTTGGCAGACAGTATCTACCTGGAAATTCTGCACTCAAGTCATCCAGAACTGGAGGAGGCACGAGAAATTTTGCGTAAAATAGAACGACGTGAATTATACAAGTTTTTAGGAGAGACTCGACCTGAAACAAAGAAGGAAATTGTAGAGGTAATGTCCTTTGGTGGAAGGTTCTGAATTCTGTCCCTGTAAAAATGTTCTCAGAATTACTGACCATCCATTTTTCTCTGTCTCCGTCACACTGTGCTCCTCTGCTTGGCCCAGGTGTCATCAGGCAGTATTTCTTTGTGTCCAAAACCAAACAAACCCCCCTTTGTGGGTTTCAGCTTTTGGAGTAGATCACCATCCCCTCCAAAGTTTGCATAGGAGCTCGCTGCTTCTGGTCTTTTTGTGGGTTTTTTTGTGTTGGGTTTTTGGTTTTTTTATAGTGATCATTGACCTTACCGATCTTCTCTGTCTCTTGGGTTTTTCTGTATATTTCACTGTATAGATATAACAGCTTTATTAGAGAGTGAGATCCTGCCACCCTTCATTAAAAAAAAAAAAGAAAGTTCGGTAAAAACATTTAGTATTCAGCTTTGGAGAACTTAATTGCAAACAGTTGGTTGAAGGTATATATCTTCTGCTTTCACGCTTCAGCATCCTGGACGTCTCACTCTTGCTCTCCCCCTGCCCCATCATCAGGTGTTAAACTCTTCCTCCACAGGCTGGCAGAGTGTGTCTTCTCAATTGTATAAACTTCGTTTGTTTCTAAAAACTGGTACAAAACTTATGGTTAAGATATACAGGGATTCAAACAACCAGATAGCTGCAAGAACAGTCTGTCAAGCTGTGAGGAATTAAAAGATTTAGTTTAGTGATATGTTGTGTCCTGTGTCTCGTTGCCTTTATCTAGACCCGAGAGTGCATAAATGTAATCTGAGCTCATCTTTTGGTTTTGTTTCTTGCAGAATAATGGCCTGGCAGAAAGTATTGCAAATTCTAAGCCAGAGAAGGATCCTCCAGATGTGGAGCTAAAGGCTGAGAATTTCATAGTTGATGTAAATACCTCTCAGAGCGGGTTCTAGTAAAAACTTCTCAATCACAGAGGGCCTTGTGTACCCAATGAAGACTGGAGACACATTTCAGTGCCTTTGTAGTGAAAGAACAAACCCACAGGGTGCCTTGTAGCTGCTGTCCTGGTTCAGCTTAAGGGTCTGAGAGCAACAAGCTTCTCCGGGGGAGGTTTGCTGTGGTGGGAGGGACTGAGGCAGAGGCAGTGGGCAGCCTCACCTCACTGGGCTGTCATCTGGGGACTGCTCCTGGTGACAGATTTGTTCTCCTGTGACTGTCCTTGCTCCGCAAAGGAGCAGTGAGGAATCCTGAGGGGTTTGGCACGGGGGTGTCAATGGCAGCAGCCCGGGGACCACTGCTGTTGGTCACCAGGGCAAGTCACCTGCTGGCCCCAGTGGGAGGAAAACAGGCACAGTGACTCCAGGCTTCTGGTATTGCAGCCTGCAGGGCAGGCACTGCTGGGGTTTGCTGCAGGAAGCACCCTGCTGCCACAGCTCAGTCTGCAGCCAGCACTGGGGGGAAGCAGAGAGCCTGAGACACAGGAGAGAGCTGTGTAGTGAGCGAGAGCTGCAAGTATCACTGGCTTAATCCCTGCTCTTGGTTAATTCTGGGAAGGGCTGGTGAATGTTTTTCCATAGAGTGCAGCACGATTCACTCCTAAAGCTCCCTTTCACTGGATAAAATTGTCACACTTTATGGAGCTTTAAAGTATTTGCCTGGGCTTTCCTTGGCCCACAAACTGAAGTTGTGGAGAAGTGGGCACCTCCCTGCCAACCACTGAACTGTTGGTATACCAGGCAGATGTAAATAATAATAATGTCTAAACCTCATGTTTATAGTCGTGAGCTCTGCTGCTTCCTCTGGAGGTTGTATGTTCTGGACTGGCAAGGGACCAGTACTGGTCCGGTGTTGGGAACTGGAATGTTTCAGAGAGCAGCTGGGAATTCTAAGTGTGAATATTCACCTGGCAGCTTCAGAGCAAGAGGTGGTGGAAGTAAAGATACAAAATACAAATATGAGATTGTTTTATTAAGTAATAATTTGTTAATTACTGTTCTATTTGATTGCTGTCGTTTTCAGGCGTATATAGTGCAGCTTTTTGTATTTATTGTGAGAAAACTAAAGACAAACATTAACAAATGCTGTTTTCTGTGTTTTACACACAAGGTTATCAACATGGATTATGGAATGAAAGAACAGAATCCCATTGATAAGGTTCACTTCTATTGCAAGGCTGATCCTTCCAAGGCAGTCAATATCAGTAAAGAACAGGTAGTCTTTTATTTTTCTCAGCTGGCTTCTGAAAAGCATCTTCACAGTTTGTGAGGGAAGTGGTTACAGTCCTGCGTGGTTGTTCTTGCACAGATTGTGAAGAGGTGGTGGAATCCATGGCCTTGCAGGTCATGTGTTGTACGATGACAGTCTGGGATCCTGACAGCCTTTGCATATGAACAGTATTTAATTGGAATAGACTGGGAGTTAGAAAAACACCATTGTTTTGGATGAAACTCATGGATTGTAGAGGGATGTTTCTTACTGCTCTCCTTTTGTATTCAGATGAAAAAGTTGAAGTTCAGTGGACTCTCAATTCCAAGAAATACTAAAGCTTATTTCTGTTTTATTCCAAAGGTTTCCAAGTTTTTACCCATAACATTTACGGAGCAGGTTATCCGGGTTTATTACAAAAGTCAGGATCCACATATTATTTCAGCTGCAAAACAGTACTTTATTCAGTGGTGTATGCAGAATGATTTCACCAAACCACAGGTAACATTCACTTCTTATTTTGCTTGTTTAGAACTCTTCATCTTTGTCCATAAGCTTGCTTTTTCATTAGTAACTTTGGCATTCAGGTCTTGCCTTTGTGGCACTGACCTAACTCCTGGTTTTATCATGGCTCCCATCTGAAGGTTCTTTGGTTTCACTGAAGCAGTGCTAGAGACACCTGCAAGTGCCATAGAATCATGGAAGGGTTTGGTTTGGAGGGAGACCTTGACGATCATCTAGTTCCAACCCCCCTGCTGTGGGCAGGGACACCTTCCACTAGATCAGGTTGCTCAGAGCTCCTTCCAACCTGGCCTTGCCTGTGGGTGTCCTTTGGGGAAAAGAGCTGCATCCTCTCACATGAGACCCCCCAGAGGATGTGTTCTTAAGTGCTGGAGCCCCAGCTCCAGGCATGGATAACTCTGTTTAAGGCTCATTCTTATGTCATTCTACTGGCATCTGTCTTTTCAGAGCAGCTAATTTCAGAAGAGCTTTTTACAAATGAATCAAGCAACAAACTTTTTCTCGTTGTAGAGTGTGGGTGTGCCCTGTAAGCATATTCTTCTAGTTCAGTTCATCCATCTTGTAGGCCCTGTCATGTTGCAGAGCATAGCAAAGGGCTTCTTACCAGCTTATTTCTGAGCTTAGAGAGCTGATTGTCTGTGTTGGCAGTGCCTGACCACAGATTAACGTCTGTATCTGACAAAGATGAGCCCTCCTGCCTCAGACCTGCTGTACCAACCTTGCCTACTTTAGACAGCGCAAGGCAGATCCCAGCACCCAGGGTGGGTCGATTGCAACAGTCTAAATGAGGTGCTGTGGTGAAGTCAGAGGAGACACTTAAACTAATGATTGTTTGCCCAGGATACAGCCTGTTGGTCTGCCAGGTTTGCTGCTAATAATTTAGGAAGAGCTGGACTGCCAATGATGGTGGCTTCTCAGATGGACCACTGCTGACTACAGCATTTTCTGTCTCTGAGACACACAGTCCTCAGTGTTTGTTGCTTCTGGGACCTTGTATTGATTTTTTCTATTAGGCCTGAGACTGAGCTGCTTTTCCTCTGTTTTAGAATGGAAAGCAAACATCATTAATGTTTCCTGACTTGTATTACCAGGATGGTGATGTTGTTGCCCCACATCTAACTCCAATGAAGAAAACCTGGAATAATGTGAGAGATGATGAACACAGGAGAGCCTCAGAACCCAGCTGCAAACAAAGGCTTCCTTTTAATGAGTAACATGTTTCTTTTTGGCACTCTTCAGTCTACTTCCTCAGAAGATGAGCAAACCTGAGTAGCAACTCTTCTAAAAGCCATTTGGATGGACTGGAAGGATTCATGGAACAATGCAGAAATGCATTTTACAATACAGTATGTTTTAATGTACATACTTAAACAAAGTGCATATTACAAATAGACTTTTAAAAACCAACTTATTACAACTGAGTAAACTCAATTCTCATTTATTTTTGAATGTATTGGCACTGTGTAGGAAGAGTAACTTTAAAAATTGCAATTCATTGTTACCACAAGATTTTACTGTTCCGTCTAGTCCTGATCCCTTCTTTAGCTGACTGTGCTATTGCATGAACTAGCAGAAAAAGTCCCAGCTCAGATTTGATGGGTTTTTTTGGGGGATTGGGGTTTTTTTGGAACCTGGGGAAGAGAGGGATAAGTAAGCTTCTGAAAACATAGTGAGGTAAAGAAGAAATAACCAAGGATGGCATCTTAAAGAACAGCAAAACAAATTTCCTTTCAAAAAAAAAGACGGGAGAGGGAATGTTTTTTGATAATCAAAGATTATTTTTCTGACATTCAAAAAGCTGATGGAGATGCAGGCCATTTGCTATAAGAGTGACCACAGTTTTTATTGAAGTAACAATGCATTGCAGTGCCATGCAGTCTTTTATAGTTTTATTGTGTATTTTTGATACACTGAATGTTATATTTTTACTGTCGGAACTGCAAAACCTGCTCAAAACGTCCATGGTGTGAGGGGTTGCAGGAGTGCTGAGCTGTCCAGGTGAGCACGGGTGGGCAGTGCCAGCCAGAGGCTGCTCCAGCTCTGCCATCCTGCACCAAGGACACCTTGTTTGGGATTACACTGTACTAGGCAGACAGGCTCTTCAGGAATCCCTCCATTCCTGTGTCCCTGCCTTGTTCTCCTGAATGGCTGTCCCTGTGTCATCTTTCCCCCCTTGTAGGTCTTTGAGGGTTCTGACAGTTTTTCTGTACTGGCATCACTGGTGTGAATGTTGCTGAATGTCTGTCCTGTTGAACAAGTGACCGAGGAAGACCTTTTTCCTCTCATTTTTTACTCAGGTCTAAAGGAAGGCTGCTTTCATTAAATGAAACGTAAAAGCTCAAAAAAGTCTGCCCTCAAAACTAAAAACATGAAGAAAGGTTCAGTAATGCTCAGAAATTAGAACAAGCTGTGGAGTTGTTGTCTGGAATGGGGAGAAAAGCGTTGAGTGTTCAGTTTGGGCAGTCAGAGGTGGGTGGCCAGGGTAGGTTCTGAAAACTAACCCAGTGGGAAGGTGCTATGAGTGACCTGCAGAACTCTAGTCATGTCTCCTTTGCCCTTTTTATCTGGGGAACTGATGCCATTAGGCAGAGGGAAGTAGAATCAGCATCCATGTACTTACTCAGATTTTGTTTGTTGAAATAACCAGAAGTTGTTGTGCACTCTGCTGCTTTCTTACGTGCCTGTGCTCATGTGCATGATCTGCTGTTCCTGTCTCTAACAGTATTTCAGATCTGCAGGTGAACAAGGGCTTGTGGCCTCTTTAAAGGCTTTTAAAGATCTTATTATGCTTCAAACAACAATATCATAGAGTGAAGGCATTTATTCCCTTTGTCTGCATAAAATCAAATATTGTCCAGAATAATATAATTTTGTTATTGTTGCTTGGGTTTGTTTTGAATCTGTTTCAAAAGGTGCACTTTATACTTGGGAAATATCTTTTGTTTATGTTAAACCTAATGTTAAGTTCTGAGAGCTTTTCTTTTCCCAGCATGTTCAACTGAGCCTCTCTGAAGAATAAATTTATAAACGATGGTTTTACTATTCTTTTAAAGAATTGCAGTGTGTGAACTTTATTAAAAATGGTCTTACTGTGCCGTTATAAAGAGCCAGAAGTATTCCTGTGGAAGACCCTCCCTCTTGAAGAGATGGGTTCTTGGTTCCTGTCTCCTCACAGTGCAGCAGGGCTGGGAGGGGCTGTGGGGAGGATCCAACCTCTCCTTGTGCAGCCGCACGTCGGTGCCCACAGCTGGAAGAGCAGGCCAGTCTCTGGCCTCAGCATCCTTCCAGGGGTCAGGGAAGCTTTTTAGACGCTTCTCCAGTTGTTGTGTGGGAGAAGGTGAAGTCGTGCTTGACCATCCTGGTCACCTGTGCTGAAATGGCTGGGCTGGAGGCTGAGGGGACAGCAGTGGGTGCTGTCAGCCCCAGCAAGCTGCTGAAGGGGTGTTTGGGTGAGGGGGGTGAACTGAAACCTACCTGCAGGGCTGGGCTCAGAGGGTGGGCTCAGTGGCACAGGTCTGGTTGGAGGCCAGTAACAGTGGGGTACCCCAGGGGTTGGTGCTGGGCCCAGGCCCAGAGCTCCATTGCTGAGGGACAGGGTCCACCCTCAGCGAATTTGCAGGTGACACCAGATGGGGAGGAATGGCTGGTGCACCAGAGGGATGTGCTGCATCCAGAGGGATCTCAGCAGGCTGGAGAAAGGGGCTGACAGGAACCTCGTGAAGATCACCAAGGGGAAGTGCAAAGTCCTGAACGTGGGGAGGGTCACCCTCCTTCACCAGGATGTGCCGAGGGCACCCACCTGTGAGGCAGCCTGGAGGAAAGGACCACGAGCCAACAAATGTGCAACAACTTTGCTCTTGCAGCCAAGTGTTCCAGTGGCGTCGTGGGCTGCCTTAGGCTGAGTATTGGCAGCAGGTAGAGAACCCTTCCCCTCTGCTCTGCACTGCTGAGGCCACCCCTGGAGTGCTGGGCCCAGAGCTGGGCTGCCCAGTACAAGAGACTGGGACAGACTGGAGAGAGTCCAGCACAGGGCCATGAAGGTGATGGAGGGACTGGAGCATCTCTGTCATGAGGAGAGGCTGAGAGAGCTGGGACTGCCCAGCCCAGAGCAGAGCAGGCTCAGGGGATCTCATCTGTGTGGATAAATACCTGGAGGGAGGGTGCAGAAAGAACAGGGCCAGGCTTTGCTCAGCAGTGCCCAGGAACAGACCCAGGGGCCATGGGCACAAACTGACACACAGGAGGGGCCCTCTGAGCATCAGGACACACTTTTCCACTGCGAGGGTGGCTGAGCACTGGTGCAGGTGCTCAGGGAGGTGGTGGAGTCTCCATCTGTGGAGAGACTCAAAAGCCGCCTGGGCACGTCCTGGGCAGCCGGCTCTGGGTGGCCCTGAGGGAGCAGGGACTGGGCAAGGTGACCTCCAGAAGTGCCTCCAACCTCACCCAGCCTGTGATCCTCCCCAGCACTATTGGCAGAAATGTGAAATGGGCCTGAAGTCAGAGGCTATGTGTTGGTGAGGGATTAGGCAGTGCTGAGAGGCCTGGAATGGGAATGGGTCCTGATGTCTTCCTGGGTGGGCAAGGTAATTTATTGGAGCCTTTCTCCAGTCTGTTTGGTGATGGCTTGCACCTTTGGTGCCTTCTCTGCTGCCACCACCATTTGCCACAGCAGCAGCAGCTTCTACAGGGCAGAGAAGATGTTCCTTCTCTTCTCCCTGGGCTGAAGATGGAGGCCACAGCCTGCCAGCCCTGGGGTATGGGAGGCATTTGTGAGTCTGTGTGCCCCAGCCGTGCTCACGGGCCGTCGGCAGCAGCAGGCGTGGCACCTCAAAGGGGTGAGGAGGACACGTGTGTGAGGTCTGGGCGGATGGTGCTGGGCAGTGTTGGGTGGCACCAGGGCACAGGGCTTGTGCCCCCAGCTGGGTGCCCTGAAGGGCTGCAGTGGCCTCCAGGCACATCCACTTGGAGTGTCGAGGCCATACGGGGAACACGGGGGCGCAGGGTCTGCTTCCCTAAGGGCACCTGGTCAGAGCAGCTGTGAACAACAAGCCAACCCTTGTGGTCATGGGGTAAGGGAGGTGATGAGGTTGGACCTGACCAGTGGCACAGTGCCTTGGGAACGGTGTGGGCAGCAGGAAAGCCATCCATTTTTTTTTATCTGTGAGGATTCAGAAAGGGAGGAAGACAAACCTTGCTCTAACTGTCTGGTGGACTCTCAAGAGACTACAGGCAACTGGAACTTCACCACAGGTCAGACTGTAACCCTGGGGAGGGGTTCGGTGGGATTCTGAAAGTGGAGGAGGAGGGAGGAACAAAGGAGTGGCAGAAAGCGGGTATGAAAGGGTTATGTTTAAAACAGGACTGGTTGATGCATTGTCTGCCTGTGTCCTGCACTGGCTCCATCTTCTGTCTGTCCTGTCCTTGGCTTAAATCCATTCTTACCTGTTTCTCCTTCAATCTCCCACAGCCTGTGTGGATGTGTGCTGCAAGAAGTAGGTGCCAGCTGCTGGAGAGGTGGCATGGGTGGGCTGTGGGAGCTGGAATCAGCAGGGAAATGCCTGGTGAGGTTCAACGCAGGTACAAGTGGGATAGGGAGGGTGAGTGGATGTGTAAAGTGCTGCAGCCTGGGGCTCAGTGGGATCCAGGCTTCACAAAATTGCGGGTTTAGGGGCAGGAGCTGAGGTGAGATCATGGGATCACCAGGTGAGGTCATGGGGTGATACTTCAGCTCAGCATCCAGTTGTGCTCCTACAATAAATACATCAAATGTGGTCAAACCAGGCAGGCCCTTGCCCTGCCATGGAGCCCCATGAACCACCCCTGCCTGGAATCCCGTGAGGCTGGTCCTGCTGCTGAGACAGGGATGGTGGAGGAGAGTTCGCCCAGCATCCAGGAGTGAGAAGCTAAACCCTGTCAGCCAGGCAAGAGGTAAGAGGTCATGGAGCTCTGGGTGGGAAGGGGTCCAGAAGGGCTCTTGTCACCCTTCCCTGGTGGGAGCAGGTCAGGCTGGGATGCCCAGCATAGCCTGGAAACCCTCGTCCTCATGGGGTGATGGGGTGGATGGAGACAGTAGACTCTGCCAGAGGGGGGACGGATCCCTGCACCCCCCTGAAGCAGGGCCTCAGGCTGACCCCCTTTTTGCTGTGGCCTGGGCTGGGACAGGGTACAGCTGGTGCTGTCACAGCTCAGGCCTGCTCCCCACCAGGGGCTCTGCACACCTTCACGGTGCCATTCATTGTTTCCAGGGCAAGGATGAGGCTGTGGGTGCAGCTCTGCCTGTTTATTGAGGAGTGGTGACTGTGCTGCCTGCCAGCCCTGCCAGCTCCTGGGCGCGCCTGGTCCTGCCGGCATCGTGCCACTCTCGAATGTTGCTCCTCCATCTTCTGCCCTGTGGTGCCCGGCGCCGCCGTGTGCCCCCATCCCAGCCAGGCAGCTGTGTGGGGCCGTGGTGGGGCTGCTCCTGCAGCCCCCCTGGGCAGCCCGGCACGGTGGCAGCAGCACTGCAGGGCTGAGACCCCACTGCAGCCCGTCCCCATCATGCTGCCCCCACCGGCTGCTGGCACATGACATGGGGATGTTGGGGGGAGGGAGGCAGGAGCGAGGCTGGCACCGTCCCACAGGCTCGGCGGGTCCTGGCAGGGAACAGCTGTGCACGAGACATCGGTGTCAAAGCATCCCCCCCGGTGCCACCTTTGTCCCCAGGTGTGGTTGGTGGGGTCAGGCCAGACCCCACAGTTCCAGGTCCTGGATGCAGAACTCCTCCCGGGATGAGAGGGTCTCGTTGTCGAAGGTCTCGCAGCGGTGGCTGCCCCCACGGTGCAGGTCCCCATCCAGCCACAGCCCAAACCTGCCGCTGGGAATGTGCCAACGGCACGGTTGGCTGAGAGTCCCCACTCCTGCCTCCTCCATGTCTGGAGACGTCCCAGGCCACCTTCTGGGGAATCAGCCACCTCCTGTCCCCATCCACTGTCTCCCAAAATGGGCATGAGACAGGACAAGTAGCCGCACCAGGGATGCCATCGTGCCCACAGGCAGGGAGTGGGCAGGGAGCAAAGCCAAGCAATGAGATGGCCAGTGCTGCTGGACAATCTGTGCTAGTGTTTTGGGGTTCAAACCACCACCACGTGCCTGGACTCAGCTCCACAGGGCTCTTGTGGCCATCAGGGCTGGTGGCCCTGTGGGTGGCTGAAGTTGCCAGTGCAGCTCCTACCTGCCCCCGCCGACCATCAGCAGGTCCACATCCCCTTTCACGAAGAAGTTGTTCCTGCCTGTCCACCTGAACACCTGCATGGGGACAGCAGTCAGTGGGGATCGTGTCCCCATTCCTGTCCCTGTCCCTGTCCTGTGAGGAACAGCTGGGGGTTGCTGAGCCAAGCTGGCTCTGCCCAGCATGGCCGTGTCCCACTTTTGCAGAGGAAGACCTGGCCGAGCCTATCGGCACCGGCCTGCTGCTGGTCCATCCCTCCCAGCAGCCCCGGGGGCCCCACCAGGGGACAGCTGCCACCATCACACACACAGAGTCCCACCAGAGCAGGCAGATGTGGCTGAGCTGCCTCCACATCCCGCCAACTCAGTGCTGGGCTGTGACTGTCCTGCTATGCAGAGGTCCCCGGTGGCCCCCAGCTGGGCATAGTCCCTTTCCCTGAGCCCCCCCCCCGCGCACTGCCTGGGATTCGCCTTCTCCCCCTAGCCCCGGAAAAACTGAGGGGACCAAGCACAGCCATGCCACCCCACAGACCCCTCCCCATCACCGTCGGGCCCCCCAGGGGTGGCTGAGTCCCAGGGGCATCGCCAGCCCCCCCCACCCTGGGGTGGCCCACAGCTGGTGGCCCACAGCTCCCACCTTCAGCTCCGGGGAGAAGGAGAAGAGGAAGGTCTCCCCTGACCCGTAGAAGCCACTGCTGCAGCGAATGGCGCTGGAGGAGAAGGCACCGAAGGCCTGGGGGGAGCAGAAGGGGAGTCTCATGGCACAGTGCTCAGTGGGGCTCCCCAGTGCCAGGACGTGTCCCCCATCCTGCCTCCAGCAGCGAGGATGTGGCCACGTCCCGGGTG